CTGGCACTGCAGGTGGAGGCTTAGCCTACTATGCCATAGCACCGGCCCCTAAAATTGTACTTTTAAGTCTGTGTTTTTTGCTCTTAGTTGTTTTCTGAAGGAGTAAGGTGCGTAATCTGCCACTGTAAACTGCCGTGGCTGGTAACAGAAGTCCCAGTTTAGTCATTTACTCCAAGTTGGTTCCCTCCCCTAGTGAGGGTGTCCATTTCCATGTTCATGTGACATGCTGTTGTCAAGCCCGTGGCTAATTCTGTGTTCTCACTTGACTTCTCAGCAGCATTTGACGTAGCTAACTCCTTCTTTGACTCAACTTCTCATGAGCTCATTCTGATGATTTTCTTCCCTTTTACTTAGGGTCTTTCTTTATCCAGTCTCTAAATGTTGAAGCTATTCAAGGTGTGGTGCTGCATCGTTTCTTTGTCAACACTTTCTTCCTGAATGACCTCGTCCAGGTTCATGGCTTTTACTGTGGTCCATATGCCAGTTCGTCCCACATCCGTATTTCTAGCTCTAAAGTGTAACCTGAATTCTGTTCTCAGCACCGGTACTTCCATGTTGGAGACATCTCGTGCTTCATAAATCCAGAAAGGACTCTTTCTGCGCTCTTTCCCAGGCTGTTCCTCCGTGGCACTCTCCATCCTAGTGCACAACACCACTGTCTCACTTGCTGGAAAAGGACACATGAGAGCCACGCTCAGTTCTTTGCTCGTCCTCACGTTTTCCTCACTTTTCCTCGTCCTCACGTTTACTTCTTCATAAGTCTGTTTGGTGCATTGTCTAAAACATGAGTCAGCAAACTTTGTCTGTCCAGGGCCAGGGCTAAATACTCCAGCTTTGTAGGCCACATGGTTTCTGCTACAACACTCAGCTCCTGCACTGGACCAAGAAAACAGCCATAATAATGCCCGAGTGAGTGCTCATGTTGAGACTTGGCCAGCAGCACATGGTTGGACTTCTTGCCTAAAATATCTCAAACCTACCCATTTTTTTTCTATCTTTACTGTCAGCCTGTAAGACTAAGCCGTGTTTTTTTGTTTGTTTTTATTTGACAGGCAGACTTAGACAGTGAGAGAGAGAGAGAGACAGAGAGAAAGGTCTTCCTTCCGTTGGTTCACCCCCAAAATGGCTGCTACGGTTGGCACGCTGTGCTGATCTGAAGCCAGGAGCCAGGTGCTTCTCCTGGTCTCCCAGGCAGGTGCAGGGCCCAAGCACTTGGGCCATCCTCCACTGCCTTCCCAGGCCACGGCAGAGAGAGCTGGACTGGAAGAGGAGCAACCAGGACTAGAACCCGGCACCCATATGGGATGGCGGCACCGCAGACAGAGGATTAACCAAGTGCGCCACGGCGCCAGCCCCTTAGCCGTGGTTTTTAATTGAATTAGTTAAGAGCCTCGTTTCCGGTCTGTTCTCCCCCGTGTGCAGAACAACTGTGAAAGCACAAGGGAGGTAGTTTTATTCCTACTTGAAAGCTTAAATGATTGCCACTGCTGCTTTAGTAAAAGCCACATGCCTTAGTACCACCTAGAGTCCATTTCAGTCTTGAATTTCTTTACCATCATCATGTCCTACTCTCCATCTTCCTCACCGTTCTCCCTGTGCTGAGAATCTGTGTCAAGTGACAAGCGAGTTTGAACATCCACATTTGTTCTCCCGCTCCTCTTTAGTCCAGCCAGGGTCTTTTCTTTTCCAGGGTATAACAGTACCTTGGTCACGGTTATCCTGGTCTACATTCTTGTGTCTCTTAAATGGTCTTCCGTATTCCTGGGAGAGTAGGGTATTCACGAGGCAGATCTGTGTTATTTCTGTTTGGATCACGTTAGAAGTGTCCCATCCTCTCCGTCCAGGACACAGAGGCCCCTGCAGTCTGCCCACAGTTCTCTCCCCTCTGTGTTCGCTTTATTCCGTGTGTGCCTGGAACCTCGGAATTGCTGACAGTTGTTGCACGCCCCTGCCCTTTGCCTGAGTGACTTTGCCCATCTACCTCCTCCCCTGACTGGGCAGCTTCACTTAGCCTGAACGTTTGGCTCAGGTGTCCTCTCAGACAGCCTCCCAGGGATGCTGAGCTGGGTTATAGGGCTCCTGGCTGGCTTTGTAAGCTTTCGTTAAAGCACCACCACTTTATAGTCTCTGTCTCTGCAGCTGCATTAGAATTTCTCTGAGGAGTAGGGGAATGTGTCACGCTGATTTTCTAGCCTTAGTGCCTACTATGAATTGTGTTTAATGTGTATGGAGGAGCACTTTGGATGTTACCCAAGGTCACAGAGTTGAGTTAGTAGTGGTTGTGACTCTATTTTAAAAAAATTTAAAATTTACTTATATTCATTTTTATATGAAAGGCAAAGAGAGAAAGAAATGATAGATGGAGAGAGATCTTTCTTCTGTGGGTTCACTCCTCAAATGTCTGTAACAGCCAACACTGAGTCAGGCCAAAGCTAGGAGCCCAGGATTTAATCTGGGTCTCCCAGGTGGGTCTCAGGGATCCACGTCCTGCTGCCATCATCTACTGCCTCCCAGGTACACATCCTCAGTGAATTGTATTGGAAACACAGATGCTGGGACTTGAACCAGGTACTCTGATAGGGGATGTGGGCATCCCAGTGATGACTTAACTGCTGTGCTAAACGCTGCCCCTGTTTTGATTTTATGTGATGATTAAAAGGGTTCCTTTGAGAGGCAATAAATTTCTGACTTGAGATTTTATGTGAGAAACTATCAAGCTCTAAGGAGAAGCTATAGTGGGGAGTCTGGAATAGCAGTCAGCAAATCCAGCTAGCTGCCTGTTTGTTTTGTTTTTTGTTTTTTAATGTAAACAAAGGTTTGGGGAACATAGCCCTGCTCACTAGTTTATATATAGCTGTGGCCATTGTTGTGTTAAAGCGGCAGAGCTACAGAGAATGTGTGTTGTGCACGGTCAGAAATGTTTACCAGTTGGTCCTTTACAGAAACATTTTATTGACCTCTGGTTGAGGATAACATGAGGAAATCGGGCCATAGGATCCCTGACGTCTCTTCTGTGTCTAAGCTTCTATAATTCATTGGAAGCCCAGAACTCTGAGTGATGTTGATGTTTTACTGCAATCCTCAGAGAATAAGTGCATTAGGAGAGCCTAATATACTTGTATGTCTTTTTTTTTTTTTTTTTAAGATTTTATTTATTTATTCGAGAAGGAGAGTTACAGAGAGAGATGGAGAGCAGAGAGAGATACTTCCATTCACTGGTTTACTCCCCAAATGGCAGCAACAGTCAGAGCTGGGCCAGGCCAAAGCCAGGAGCCAGAAACTGCGTTTGGGTTTCTCACATGGTCTCCCAAGCACTAGTGCCAGCTTCTGCTTTTTGAAGGGCTTTAGCAGAGAACTGGATCCAAAATGGAGCTTCTGGGAATCAGATGAGCACTCACACGCCTGTGTCACTGATGGTGGCTTCCCCCCTGCACCACAACGCCAGCCCCCACTTGTATGTTTGCACACATTGGTTGGGAAGCACTGGACCCAAGGGATTGACTGATTGTTAGAACGTGTGTTTCGCCGGCGCCGCGGCTCAACAGGCTAATCCTCCGCCTTGCGGCGCTGGCACACTGGGTTCTAGTCCCGGTCGGGGCACCGGATTCTGTCCCGGTTGCCCCTCTTCCAGGCCAGCTCTCTGCTGTGGCCAGGGAGTGCAGTGGAGGATGGCCCAAGTGCTTGGGCCCTGCACCTGCATGGGAGACCAGGAGAAGCACCTGGCTCCTGCCTTCGGATCAGCGCGGTGCGCCGGCCGCAACGTGCCGGCCGTGGCGGCCATTGGAGGGTGAACCAACAGCAAAAGGAAGACCTTTCTCACTGTCCACTCTGCCTGTCAAAAAAAAAAAAAAGAACGTGTGTTTCAGGGGGCAGGCATCGTGCCACAGCAGGCTGAGTCACTAGTTGAGACCTCAAAGAGGAGCTATCCTGTGTTGTAGGCTTGATGAGCACCCCTCAGCATGTGCCACCCATCTGCTACACTCTGAGACATGTGGGCCAGCAAATGAAGGTTACTGACAGTTATCCTTGAGTGACTCAGCAGCTGCCCACTGTTTAAAAAAAAAATACTTCTTAACGATCTATTTATCCTTCACTTCTGCTGTAGCATCTCATGGGAGCAGAGGGTGACGGCTGGGTCTGTGTGTGCCACTGACACCACTTATGATTCCCTAACTTCTTCCTCTAGCCCTTAGTGTCCTCATTTATCAGATGATCCTGAGCACAAGTATATCATAAGTAGGGCCGTCCTCCAGTGCTTTCGCAGGCACATTAGCAGGGAGCTGGATAGGAAGTGGAGCAGTCTCGAGCAGAACTCGATCTGGCGCTCACGTGGGAAGCAGGCACTGCAGGTGGCGTCTTTTTTTTTTTTTTTTAACTTTTTAAGATTTATTCTTTTATTTGAAAGGCAGAGTTAGAGAGGCAGACGCAGAGAGAGAGAGACTCGGGAGAGGGCCACTGAGGTTTTTATTTATTTTTTATTTTTTTGACAGGCAGAGTGGACAGTGAGAGAGAGAGACAGAGAGAAAGGTCTTCCTTTTGCCGTTGGTTCACCCTCCAGTGGCCGCCGCGGCCGGTGCACCGCGCTGATCCGATGGCAGGAGCCAGGTGCTTCTCCTGGTCTCCGATGGGGTGCAGGGCCCAAGCACTTGGGCCATCCTCCACTGCACTCCCGGGCCACAGCAGCGAGCTGGCCTGGAAGAGGGGCAACCGGGACAGAATCCGGAGCCCCAACTGGGACTAGAACCCGGTGTGCCGGCGCCGCAAGGTGGAGGATTAGCCTAGTGAGCCGCGGCGCCGGCCCCACTGAGGTTTTTATTACTCTTTTTGATACCCTTTCACAGTGATTATTGTCATGACAAAGACTGTGTGTGTGTGTGTGTGTGTGTGTACATTTTTAAATTAAGAACTTGAAGTCCATGCCCTCTCTGTGGGAGGGAGAGTGAGAGACTGTGGCCTTGGCTACTTGGAGCAGAGCCTTTCTGAAGCTTGCTTTCTTCCAGGAGGAAGAGCCCTGTGAGAGCACTAGTGAGGAAGAGTGTGGTCCTGAAGACCATCAGGGCTTCAGCTCTGTTGTCGATGTTGAGGACCTTGGCAAACTCATGGATCGCGGGAAGAAAGAAAAGGTACCATTATTTTGGAAGGGCATTTGGGTAACATTTAGTATTCTGTATTGCTGTGTGGCCCATCTGAGTTCACCACAGGATGGTTTCATTTCTCTCACAGTCCTAAGAATTTCATATTTTTTACCACATTGACATGAGCTTTGTTAAAATCTTCCCTCTTAACACTGTGAAAATGGGCTAGTAGGAGGCTAAGCAAGAGATTTCAGGTCCAGGACTGAGAAGAAGGGGAGATGGTCAGAGGGAGTTTAGTCGGGACTATCTGAGGATGAAAGGGATGAGAGAATTTATTATCAATGGGTTTTACGTGGCTGTAAGCAGAGTCAAGGACAGATGATAAAGTGGGAAATAATATTCACTCTTTAGATCACTGAAAGGGTGATCTTTTTACTATCCAGAAATCTCAAAAATTAAAAGGAAAAAAAAACCCAAATCTAATAGAAAAATATTGACAATTCTCTACAGAATTGTCCAACTACAGAATAGACAAAAAGCTCTCTAAATAGATGTCAATGTATGAAAAGATGCACAGTTTCACTTATAGGGGAAATGCAGATGGAAACCACTCTGAATATGTGACTCCCCTATCAAAAGGTAGGTCACACACTCGGTGGGAATGCTGCCAGTTCTATCACGAACTTCGTATTTAAAAAAATTAGTATTAAAGGAGCATACTCTGGCCGGCGCTGCGGCTCACTAGGCTAATCCTCCGCCTTGTGGCGCCGGCTCCCCGGGTTCTAGTCCCGGTCGGGGCGCCGGATTCTGTCCCGGTTGCTCCTCTTCCAGGCCAACTCTCTGCTGTGGCCAGGGAGTGCAGTGGAGGATGGCCAAGTGCTTGGGCCCTGCACCCCATGGGAGACCAGGAGAAGTACCTGGCTCCTGCCATCGGATCAGCGCGGTGTGCTGGCCGCAGCGCGCTGGCCGCAGCGGCCATTGGAGGGTGAACCAACAGCAAAGGAAGACCTTTCTCTCTGTCTCTTTCTCTCACTGTCCACTCTGCCTGTCAAAAAAAAAAAAAACAAAAAAACATACTCTAAAATAAAGACAAAAGTATGATATAGTAAAATGATAAGCAATAGGCATTGCATATAATTGTATGTGCTATATTTTTATATGACTAGCAATGTAGTGGGTTTGTCTGTACCAGCATCACCATGAAATGTGTTGTTAACGTGTTGCAGTTGTGATGACCCTGATGCCACTGGGCAGTAGGAGTCTCTCAGCTCCCTTAGGGACTGCTGTGGTATCTGCGATCTGTTGTTAACTGAGGATGTGTGACTGTTACATACGGTGTTTCCTAGCTGTATTTACTGAAAGACTGCCTGTTCTGACATCAGCTATCGGGGACCACCTGGGTGTCCTGTATGTCAGTTTGGTTCTGGTATGAATTACCTGGAGTTAGCGTCAGACTCCCCAAGTTTACAGAAAAGTCCTGCTTGACAAGAATACACTCATTTCAGACACCAGCTTCAAGCGTCAAGGTCCACCTGTACTCTGACCAACCAGGTATAGACTTGAGGGTTCCCACAACGCCGTAGGTTGACTGGTTTGCCACAGTGACTCACAGAACTCACGAAAGCACTGTACTTACTACTGCAATTTTCTTATAAAGTCTACAGAGTAGGAACAGTCACACGGAAGAGCTGTGTAGGGCAAGATCTAGGGTCTGTGGATAAGGAAGAGACATAGAACTTGTGTCCTCTCTTCCTCGACTCTAGACCCATTGCCCCCAGCCCTGACCCCACCCCTGCCCCTGCCCCACATCCGTGTGTTTCTCACTAAGAAACTCCTCTGAGCTTTGCTGTCCAGGGTTGTTATGGAGCTTCCTTGTACAGTAGGGACAACCGATCAAGTCATTGGGCAGGTGACTGCTCATTGTCCAGCCAACCCCACCCCACCCCAGCCTGGTCCTGGAGGTCAGATTGGTCCAAGGTTCCAAGTCTATAATCCTGGGATTGGTCTTTCAGGTGGCCCATCCCATTCTAAAGCAATCTAGGGGCCCACCAAAAGTGATCTTATTTGCATAACAAAGATAGTCATTTAAGTCCAAAGATTATAAGCATAGCAAAGATACTCAATTGGGAAATTCTAAGATTTTTTTGAAGTTGCCTACCAGGAGCCAAAGTCAAAAACCAGATATAGTTTTTATTATGCCACCGACCAAGAAATGATGAACACAGTCAAATCTTGTTTTCTGAATGCCCTTCCTCTATCACGGAAAGCAGCTCCTTGGAGAATTGACTGATTCCAGGATGGGGGAGGGGGAGCAGTAGATGAGCCCTGGAACACCTGTTCAGTAAGTAGGTCCTCATTAGCTGTGGAAGCAGGTCGAAAGGACTCTGCGAGGTCACGTTCGAGAAGTCACGTTCGAGGTAATTTGTGCTTCAAAATGGTAAACACAATAGACTGTGTAAAAGGAAAATCCTTGTGGTACTCAAAGGGAAGGTATAGGTGAAGGTTTCCAGACAATAAATGTAGAGGCATGATATAATTAGAGTCACCTGCTTGTATTCCCTCCTGTAATGGTGGATCGATTTAAGCAAGGAGTGGGTCCAGTTTTTTGGGGGCACAGGTATTTACAGTATCTTTTTTTTTTTTTTTTGGACAGGCAGAGTTAGACAGTGAGAGAAAGAGAGAAAGAGAGAAAGGTCTTCCTTCCGTGGTTCACCCCCCCCAAGATGGCCGCCACGGCCGGCATGCTGTGCCAATCCAAAGCCAGGAGCCAGGTTCTTCTCCTGGTCTCCCATGTGGTGCAGGGCCCAAGCACTTGGGCCATCCTCCACTGACTTCCCGGGCCACAGCAGAGAGCTGGACTGGAAGAGGAGCAACCAGGACAGAATCCAGCACCCCAACCTGGACTAGAACCTGTGGTACCGGCGCCCCAGGTGGAGGATTAGCCTATTGAGCCACGGCGCTGGCCTATACAGTGTCTCAAAAGCTCATCTCAGAAACTAAAGCACTTAGAAATGACAAAGATAAATGGATGAGTGGAACCTACTAGCCCCTGATTATTAATTATAGAGAAAGGCATTTTGTAAATGGGGAGACCAGATGATTTCCACCTATAGCAAGCCATCAAATTTGACATCGTCATTAGTGGTAAACTTGACCTCATCTGCCCCCTGGTAGGATGCGTGGCAAGACATATACAACATCATCTGTGTCCTTCTGTGTTAAAAATATTTAGTCTGGGGGCCAGCGCCATGGCTCACTTGGTTAATCCTCCGCCTGTGGCGCTGGAATCCCATATGGGCACCAGTTCTAGTCCCAGTTGCTCCTCTTCCAGTCCAGCTCTCTGCTGTGGTCCAGGAGGGCAGTGGAGGATGGCCCAAGCGCTTGGATCCCTGCCACATGCATTGGAGACCTGGGAGAGGCACCTGGCTCCTGGCTTCGGATTGGTGCAGCACTGGCCATAGCAGCAATTTGAGGGGTGAACCAATGGAAGGAAGACCTTTCTGTCTGTCTCTCTCACTGTCTATAACTCTACCTGTCAAATAAAAAAAAAAAAAATTAGTCTGAATCTAAGGGGAAACAATAAGACAAATCTAGAATGTAGGCACATTAAATGTCAACATCATAAACAATAACAACAGTAAAACACAGGGTAAATGTTCTAGGATTAAAAATGACAATGAAACATAACAGTACATTGTGTAAACTTTGATCTTGGATCAAAGAGAAAAAGCCATTGTCTAAACATTTAGGAAAATTTGAAGTGGGCTTTTTAATTAGACAATATTGAATGTGTGTTAAAATCTTAGCTGTAATTAAGGTATTGTGTTTCTGTAGGATCATGTGCATTTCTTTTTGGAGATGGATTCTGCGGTATTTAAGGGTAAAATTTCTTAGTGTCTGTAACATACTTTGAAGTTGTTCAGCAAAGCTGTCTGTACTGGTACATATATTCGTGTGTGTGTGTACATGCATCTGTGTAGAGAATCATCAAATAAAATTGGGAGTGTAGGAGAGCATGGGTCTTTATTGTACCTTGCAACTCTTCTGAAGGTTTGAAGGAAGTGTGGGGAGGGATTTGCTTTTTCCACACTCCTTCAAAACACAATGAAACAAAGCTAGTGGCAGCCAAACTATAAACAATTTATGATATTGCCATATGAGAATTATCTCCCATTTTTTTGGTAGGACAATTGAATGAAGAGCTTTCATTGTATAAAGTCTTCAAGAAATTATTCCTTGCATTCTGTTTTTACTCTGGATGGCTCTTCTGTAATTTTCTTAAATGGAAGTTATGTTGAGTAATGTATTTAATTTTCATCTAGTTTAATGAAAAATTTTACTATAAAATAGTGTACTTATCATAAGGGAAATTTAGAAAAGAGAAATGGCAAAATCCATCTGTGACTTTTTCGTTAGAAAATTCACTATTAAAATGTGGAATATTTAGTTTTTGTTTCATATACATTTAGTTTATTATGTCTTTCATAATCCAGGTGTTTTTAAAACCCTTATTTTAAAATCTTTAAACAGTAATCAATGTTGTTAGTTTGACTTGTATATTAAACTAGGATTCCTCTGGGAAAGTGGTCATAGAAATGGCTTGAGTTTCCCCGTCCCTTTAAACCTGCACAGGAGGGGTAACCCTTTCCCGCCTTTGCATGAAAATCTAACAGACTCCATGATTTCCTGCCTGTTCTTAGTGACTCAGGTCCTATGGGCCCTTCAAGGCACAAAACAGTCTCAATTTGGCAGTGGGATATCCAGCCCCACATGATAGAGTTTCCAGTTTAATTCCAACGTGAAACTCTCCTCTTTGCCTTTATTTACTTTCTAGCCTCTTAGCTGCTGTTTTGGATTTCCTTAGGGTTTGCAGAGTGGGTGGGGCGGTAGGACTGATCCATAGAAATAGAAACATTCTTTCTTGGCCGGCGCCGCGGCTCACTAGGCTAATCCTCCGCCTAGCGGCGCCGGCACACCGGGTTCTAGTCCCGGTTGGGGCGCCGGATTCTGTCCCGGTTGCCCCTCTTCCAGGCCAGCTCTCTGCTATA